AGGTCTTCGTGAGCAAACAAGTTGGATGCACACCCACTTAGTTTCTTTTTGAGCTTTCATAAACTTATAGCTCTAGTGCATCCATTGCATGGCAATCCCTACTCACTCACATTGATATTTATTGATGGGCATCTCCATAGCCCATTAGTACGCCTAGTTGATGTGAGACTATCTCCTTCTTTTTTGTCTTCTCCACAGCCACCATATTCTACTCCACCTATAGTGCTATATCCATGGCTCACACTCATGTATTGCGTGAAAGTTGAAAAAGTTTGAGAACATCAAAAGTATGAAACAATTTCTTGGCTTGTCATCGGGGTTTTGCATGATTTAATACTTTATGTGATGAAGATGGAGCATAACCAGACTATATGATTTTGTAGGGTTCACTTTCTTTTGCCATGTTATTTTGAGAATACATGATTGCTTTATTAGTATGCTTGAAGTATTATTGTTTTTATGTCAATATTAAACTTTTATTTTGAATCTTATGGATCTGAATATTCATGCCACAATAAAGAAAATTACATGGATAAATATGTTAGGTAGCATTCCACATCAAAAATTCAGTTTTTATCATTTACCTACTCGAGGACAAGCAGAAATTAAGCTTGGGGATGCTTGATACGTCTCCAACGTATCTATAATTTTTTATTGTTCCATGCTATTATATTATCTGTTTTGGATGTTGTATATGCATTAATATGCTATTTTACATTATTTTTGGGACTAACTTATTAACCTAGAGCCCAGTGCCAGTTTCTATTTTTCCTTGTTTTTTAGTTTTACAGAAAAGGAATATCAAACGGAGTCCAAACGAAATAAAACTTTCGCGACGATTTTTCTTCGACCATAAGACATCTAAGGAACTTGAAGATGAAGTCAGAGGAGTCCCGAGGGCTCCACAAGCCCTCAGGGCACGCCCTAGGGGGCGCCCCTGGCTTGTGGCCCCTTTGGGAGTCCACCAACCTCCCTCTCAGCTCTATAAATTCCCAAATATTCCCCCAACATTAGAGGCATCCACGAAAATACTTTTTCGCCGCGGCAACCTTCTGTTGTCGTGAGATCCCATCTTGGGGCCTTTTCTCGCACCCTGCCGGAGGGGGATTCGATCACGGAGGGCTTCTACATCAACTTTATTGCCCTTCCGATGAAGCGCGAGTAGTTTACCATGGACCTAAGGGTCCATAGCTAGATTTCTTCTTCTCTCTCTATGATCCTTAATACCATGTTCTCCTTGATGTTCTTGGAGATCTATCCGATGTAATATTCTTTTGCGGTGTGTTTGTCGAGATCCGATGAATTGTGGATTTATGATTTGTTTATCTATGAATATTATTTGAATCTTCTCTAAATTCTTTTATGAATGATTTGATATCTTTGTATTCTCTTCGAATTATCGGTTTGATTTGGCCAACTAGATTTGTTCTTCTTGCAATGGGAGAGGTGCTTAGTTTTGGGTTCAATCTTGCGGTGTCCTCACCCAGTGACAAAGTAGGGGTAGTGAGGCACGTATTTGTATTGTTGCCATCAAGGGTAAAAAGATGGGGTTTTCATCATATTGCTTGAGTTTATCCCTCCACATCATGTCATCTTACTTAAGGTGTTACCCCGTTCTTTTGAACTTAATACTCTAGATGCATGTCGGATAGCGGTCGATGTGTGGAGTAATAGTAGTAGATGTAGAATCGTTTCGGTCTACTTAACACGGACGTGATGCCTACATTCATAATCATTGCCTTGGATATCTTCATAACTTTGCGCTTTTCTATCAATTGCTTGACAGTAATTTGTTCACCCATCGTATTATTTTCTTTCAAGAGAGAAGCTTCTAGTGAAATCTATGACCACCAGGTCTATTTTCCATCATTTATTTTCAGTTCTATAAACCAAAAAAACCCAAAAATACATTACTACAATTTATTTGTTTTACTTTGTTTCATGTTCTAGTAATCATTTATATCTATCTCTATCAGATCTCAACCTTGCAAGTGACCGTGAAGGATTGCGATGAGGACATCAATATCATTGTTATACCCACAGCCCCTGGTACTATACATACTGGACCAATTACTAGAGCTCGTGCACGCCAATTAAATTACCAGATACTTTCATTTCTTGGTAATGATTCTAATATTCATGAGAATATGATGCTGCCTAAATTAGGTACATTTGTTTTGCTTACAAATGAAGGGCCTAGCTTGGAGAAGGATGAACATTGGAGCAAGAACAAGCATGGAGATGATGGCATGCGCAAGGGAAACAAGAACGGAGTTTCAAGTGATGATTTCAGGACTTTGAAGCCACCGTAATGAGTGCATGAAGTCTTGAACGAAATATACAAGATGTCACTTCACAAATTTCGTCCAGAGGCTATTATAGGTGTTGCGTCACCTTATTATTGGGCCAGGCCCATGTAATTTTGAAATACATAAGTATAGGTTGTTTTAGAGTCCGTATGTATGGGGAAACAAGAGATAGGGTTGGTTTCGGACCCCTCCCCCAAAGGCCATGAAATCCCCCCTCTTCCTCCATATATACAGCCCTTAGAGCGTCGTTTAGACTTTGAGTTTTGTTTAGATTAAAATTTCACCATAGCTGCAACTTCGTCATACTTCGTTTGTGTTCAACGACCAGACAAAGACGTCACAGAACCCCACCTTGATCAATAAAGGTTTCATCTTATATTCGCAGTATCCAGATTGCAATCTTAGTTTCTTGCTTGTTCTTTGTTTGCTTGCAGGAAATAGACATTCGTACTCTAGCGTGGTCAATAACCTCTCGGAGTTGGTTTAGCGATTGCTAAGGCGCAACGTCCTCACATGTAGGTAGTCGGATCGTCAAAGTCTACTCCTCCGAAACGATAATCACCATCTCATCGAAAGACGGGACACCTTTGCCTCTATCAGATTGACAACCTCTTTATCGCGTTGGGTGCAAGCGTTTAATTGTTTGTGCAGGTGCATAGATTGGAGACTTGCGTGTACCTCCTACTAGATTGATACCTTGGTTCTCAAACTGAGGGAAATACTTATCTCTACTTTGCTGCATCACCCTTTCCTCTTCAAGGGAAAAACCAACGCAAGCTCACGAAGTAGCAGGCGTGCTCGTTTCTGTGCTGCAACTCTTCCCATTGCTGAGGGTTGAGGGGCTGAGGATAGTACTCGTCATCGTGACGGCCCCCGCTGCCATCGATGTCACCATGTGATGGGCCATCGACTCCCGCGCCACCGCGAGAATACCCGGGCGGGCTATGCTGGGAGCCAGCCATAAGCACCTCAGAAGCAGGATCGCTGCTCTCACACGCGGATGCTCCGTCTGAGTCATCACGCAGGGAGTTGAACAAGTCGAGGATGGACTCATTGGGCTCGATCGTCGCGATCTGCGGGGCCGCCACTTGGAGGGCCACCGTATTCTTGATACACCATTGGAGTCGCGGGTGTCGGGAGAGCTTGCGACGTCGAACAGCGGAGCGGAGCGAAGCCGCTGGATCTATCAACTGGTACGGGGTTGACGGTTGATGAATGAGAACACCGAAGGTACTCACGTGGAAGTGCGTCGCTCCGCGAACGGGCAGCGCTTCGACGTCCAATGGGGCTTCCTGGAGCCACGCTGAATCATTAGCGATGAAGCTGAGGGCGCCGAGACGAATCTCGTGGCCGAATGACAGCCTGCCGCTAGAAACCTTGGTGAAGATGAGGGAATTGCAACTACGCCGGAAGTCACTTAGACGCCTGCCCCACGGTGGGCGCCAACTGTCGCGGGAATAGGTCTGACAGTAGTGTATGGGGGTACGGATTAGAGGGTAGAGTCTTGCTACGACGCAATTGTTACACTCGGATTTACGAGTTTAGACCCCTCACAGAGGAGATAACAACCCCACGTCTCGGTGCTCTGGAGCTTGATTGACTGGAGTGTACAGTTAACAAGAGATTGTGAACCCTTGTTATGGAGCTGGGGGTTGCTTATATAGAGTACGCCCGTCCCTGATGAATGCTCCCATAACTAAGGGTTAAAGAGGGGTTTTAAAGGCAACAATTACTGGTAACGTCTATATTGACTGTTCTTTAAGGCGGTGGACGCACGTCCTAACCGTTGCGATCTTGATGAGACTCTTGGTCTTCTCTGTCCGAGTAGACTCAAGTACTCCGAGTGAGACGAGCTGGTCGATGGATTGCTTGTACTATGAGTGGTTGTTGTCTTCCGAGTGGTTCTCAGGTTGCAGCAATTATGAACGGTAACCTGGCTCTGGGCCTAGTTGCAGTGCACGGTGTCCTTAGGTAGGGTCTGTAGGTCAGGCCAGTGACCCTATCATCGGTATATGTCCTCGTCAAGATCGGCGGCGGCATCAAGGTTCGGCGGGTCGTCCATGGCGAGCGGCCGGGAGGGTTTTGGGAAAATGGAGGGAAATGATGGTTGTCGTGCCACCGACTGGCGGGCTAGGGGGAGGAGTAGGCGCGTGTCGCGCGCGTCCGTTTCATATCCGCGTCGAGGCAAATGAGACTTAAATTTAGACCGAGAATGGGTGGACAGACGGACGAAAAGCAGACGCGAGTCCGTCTAGATCGGCGCGTTGGACCGATTTTTCTATTTCCGGCGACCCAAACGGATACGTATAGATGAAATGAGTCGGTGCATTGAAGTTGCTCTTAGGCTATCCAAACAGACAAAATGGGAATAAAATCGCATGTCCATTTGGGGTAGTTGGATCACCATGAGGCTGGTCACAATGGGGAGGAACTTAGAAGTAACATCACACACTCCAATACAACTTTGCTTATGTGGCACATATTTAATGAAGAGAGAGGTGCTTGTGGTAACTAGCTAAGTTACCGGAACATCACACACTCCAAGAAACAATGAGTCTATAACCTAATAAATACATCTTTGCATGACACTACATAGATGTTCCTACCAACTATGGAGGTAGTAACATAGTCTAGGGAAGTGTGTAAGTTACTAGTTTATGTTCTTGCCCATTGTGACCAGCCTGATCTAAAATGTTCTCCCCATCGTCCATCGCACTCCGTTTCCGCACGTGCACCAGCGCACCGGGATCGCATCGCACTGCGCGAACCACTCCCAAAGTCCCCACTGGACTCCACCCGCCCCTCCCCACCCCGCGGATCCGGAATCCTCCACGAATTAACGAGTTTCCCTTCCCCTGCTGCCCGGCCGGCGCGCGCGGTGACCATCGTCCATCGACCGAAGCCAGCGCGCCCCCGCGACCAGATCCGAGCGGAGGGATGACTGGGGCGGCGTCGCAGGCGTACGGGGAGGCGTGGTACTGGGACGAGCGGTACCGCAAGGAGTCGGGGCCCTTCGACTGGTACCAGAAGTACCCCGCCCTCGCGCCGCTGCTCCGCCTCTACGTGTGCCCGCACCAGCGCCTCCTCCTCGTCGGATGCGGCAACTCCGGTGAGTAGCCTATCTCTGCTCCACTCGCCCATGCACCCTCGGGGCGGGATCGGTCAGGGAGGAAGTTTCTGTGGGCAACTTGGTTGATCTGCTCCAGCGTCTCTGGTTGGGATCGCCGGGAGACTATTCACTCGATCGATCAACTGGAGAGTAATGTAGAATGTATGCTCTACGGAGTCTCTACGTTTTTGTAGAATGACTCGAATGCTGCTAGACACAAAGGTTTCCTCAATCACACAGCATTTGCTGAATGGTATTCCATCAGTGCGATTACGTGGTAACAATACAATCAAAGCAACTGGTGATGTAGCAAGTCAATATCTTACGTTTTACCAATCTGAGACAACCGGCCTCTGTGCCCTGTGCCCTGTTACCACTAAAAGCATATGAAAAATATGGTGCGTTGCAGTTCATGGCCCCATGCCTGGCCAAAACATCATGTGCAAAAGTGACATGCGTGTATGGGCGACGGTTGCTTTATCAGTATCAGATCATATGTCAGCAAAAAAGTGAAATCGGGTTGTGAGACAGATCCCCTAGCGACTCCCTTCCCCAAAGCAGGACCCCTTGTAGTCAATGGATACGGAGTAGTTAACTTGATATAATGAACTACTGGTGATATGGAAATTTATGTGCCACATTTCCTTTAATCAAATTTTGATAATATTTTGGTCCTAGTTGAGAGTTGTTGAAGCATCATGGCCTCCTGGATCCATTTAGGTGCACCGTCTTGGGTTCATGAAAACTTACTATCTGATAATTAGCATGGAATTGGCGAGTTACACAGTCCATTCTCATCTTTTACTGTCTACTACTTATTGTATTGACTGTTAGGCATAGATAATGACGGAATTACTCTTATCCCTTTTGAAACTGGTTGTATTGTTGATTGAGATGTTTTTTTATCACTAATTTGCTATGCAGTTTCAGACTATATGATTTATTTCTGAATTTAGATGCAGTTGTTATATTATTGCCAGCGTGTTTATTCTTTGTTTAGTTGAAATTACTTGTTTTTAATCTATTTCGATGTTTCACAGTTTTTGGTGAAAACATGGTTCATGATGGTTACCAGGACGTTGTCAACATTGATATATCGTCTGTGGTGATTGAACAAATGAAGAAGAAATACCATGATAGGCCTCAACTAAAATGTATAATCTTTGTTCCCAACATTCAGACATTGAATCCCTGCGGAGTATCTACGGCTTACTATTGTATTATTTCCTGCAATTTACAGACACGAAGATGGATGTAAGAAACATGTCAGACTTTGAGTCTGGTTCATTTGATGCTGTTATTGACAAAGGTATCGTTACAATGTAAATGTAATGGTTGCCAGCATTATGGAACATCTATGCATGCGTATGTAACATGCCATTGGGTTCTAAACCATTCTGTTATTTGCAGGAACACTAGATTCTATTATGGTGAGTCAATTGTTGCCAGGATACTCAGATATTCTTCCCATGCCATACTCAGAGCCGTGTTTCTTGTATTGTAGTGCGGCCAAAATTCACAAGAGCATGCAGCAAAGATGCTAGGGGAGGTGAACAGGTAAATAATAGACTGATATTTGTTGTGATATCTCTGTTTATTTGACTATAGCTTTTATTTGTTTCTTCTATCTGCAGAATCCTCAACGATAAGGGGGTCTACATTATGGTAATTGATAGTATTATTAACATGGTAACTCTGTGGTTTTCTTCTTGTGTCTATAAACTTCTTTGAGTGTCACAATGCTACAGATTACTTATGGGGATCCAAGTTATCGATTGAATCTTCTGAAGGACCTCCAATTTTGGACAGTAAAGCTTCACGTCATAGGTTAGTGGGTTTTGCCACCGTTCGACTTAACAATGTCCTACTCTTGACCCTATTGATCTATTTCTTTTACTTTCTGAAGCTCTAAATAACAGTGTTATCTGTTTTATGATTTTACATACACAATCGACATAGCAGATAGGTGGGAGAGAAGTTCCAAAAAGACATGGGACCTGACCGAGCCACTGCCTTTACAAGATGATAGTACATCGATTATCAACCTTCTTGGCCCAAAACCTGATGTTCACTATATTTATGTCTGTATAAAGGTTAGCCGTCGACAAGCTTGTCATAATCATCCGAACTTGCTTCTTGAAACTCTTCATATGACTAGTTATTGAATAATCTTACATTGTTATGCAGGACAACGACAGTGCAAGAGTGGAGTTGAAGGTCGAGATCAATGAAGCAGACAAATGATCGCATACTATAACCTTTTTGGATCATCGTGTATAACCAGTGTAGCGAATAATGTAGGGAATACATTTTGTAACTCTTAACTTGTGTCGTTGTTGGCAACAATTTAGCAAAATTACAGCTAGGATGTTGCTTCTTCGATCATTGAATTTGGAATAGAAATGGATGTGATGTTTTCCTGTCTTTCGATTTTGTGTAGAATTTATTTCCGTGTTCACGGAACGTAGGACCCGCTCGGAGTGTGGGAAATCTTAGAGAAAATGATCTCGGTTTTCTACATAAAGAAAAGCCAGAATCTTGTGGGACGGGAAAGTATCTTGGAAATTTTGTGGATGTTCACAACATATGCCTAGAACCCCTAAAAAAATTTTGAAAACAGTTTTCAAAAGCTCTTTTTTTTTTGTTTTGGGTGTTCACAACATGTGTTTACAATTTCTAAAAATTTCAAAAGAGAAACTTGAACTTTTTAGGATTGTTGACACATATGTTGTGAACATTCACAATGCTCCCTGTTTTTTTTTTTTTTTGAAACTTCTGAATTTGGCCATTTTAGGAATTGTTGACACATATGTTGGGAGCATGGTATCGTCTAAGTCTTGAAAGCACCGGATACTTTCCACTCCTGGGGCAAGCCTTTGTGGCCATTTTAGCGAACCCGTATGCAATTTTCCTTTATTTTCATCAGAAAAAAAGGGAACACCTTTTTTTGACCTAAGCGTGCAATTTTTCTTCTGCGTCCATCATGATTCAGTTCAGGCATTCAGCCCAGGCAAAGGGAAAGTGGAAGAATCCCTTACTGGAACGGATCAACGTCCATCTTCAATCCAACTCCTGCAGATTCGACACGTGTCCCTCTCTTTCCCACCTCCTCCCTAAAAATCCCTCTCCCCCCTTCTCTAGCCGCCTTCCTTCGGCCCCGCAGCATTCTCTCTCCTCACCGTCGCGCGTGTGCCCCTCCTTTCTGTCCCTCTCCCTCCTCCGCGCGCGCTCCCTCACTCTCCTCCCATCCGTCTAATGGAGGCCCTCGCCGGCGCCGCCGCCTCGTCCGCGCTCCTCCCTGCCTTCCCCGCCCACCAGCCTCACTCCCGCGTGGCCCTCCGCGCGGCCGCCGGAGGCGGAGGCAAGGACGACGCCGCGAAGCCGAACGGGACTCCCGTCGTCAAGGTAACAAACAGTGCCTGAACGCTTACGTGATGCAGAGTGAGAAGTGACGAAGATTTTGTTCGGGTAGTGGTTGCTGGGAGATGGGTGTGGCAGTGTAGAACATGTTGGGTTTAGGGATTTCTGTCAGATGCGAGGCCTGGGGCCTACCCAGACCTGTGTTGTTCCATTGTGTTCTTATTAAGAGGTGACTAGGTTTCGAAGCTTGATATCTTTGAAATCGGTCGTGAAGTTTTGTGGATGTCATGAAGATAAACTTCCTTTTGTACCAATCAACTTAGAACTTCCGAATGATAATTAGTTGAGAATCATGTCTATGCGTATGGGTTCGCAAAGATATTATTTAGCTTCTTGCTAGATTTTTTTAAGGTGACCCTGTATTTTATATTTTGAAACTCAGGAGTGAATCAGGTCATTTTCTTTTTAGTTTGCCTTTAGCGTGTCGCATATCTTTGGTTTGTACTAAATTGCCTGACAGTTGAAGGTTGATCCAAGTCAAAATGGAGCTCTCGGTCCGGTCGCAACTGACAAGTCACGCACGACCTCATCAACCAATTCAACTCCCGACTCAAGCGGATCCAGAGCTGGCTTGTTCAGAACCCCTATATCTGGTGGTGTGCAGAGCGCAACTTTTGCCCATGGTTTACCTCCACCAGCTTTGGCTGTTCGCAATTTAATGGAACAGGTAGCTTCTGTTAATTATCTCCTGGCCTTTGGGCTATTTTCTAGCCGGCTGGATGCTTATTCCTGTCTTACTGTGCTCACTAGGCGCGATTTGCTCATCTATGCACTGTCATGTCTGGCATGCATCATCGACGCGCTGGATATCCATTTGGTTCACTTGTTGACTTTGCTAATGACTCAATGGGCCGTAAGATAGCTACTTTGGTTACATTTTGGATATAACTTGTACACTCTGTTTGGCCTCCTTGGGTAATTATTTTGTGTTGATGTCTTGCACAGACCCAATATTTTCTCTGTCGCCCTTAGCAATCCACACCAGAAACTTGCTCTCTGATCCAAGATGCACACTTGTTGTCCAGGTATGAAGTTTCTCGGCATGTTTTACTGGAAGTATAAAGGTTCCTTGCTTGCTAATAATAGGATAACAACATCTAGTCCTTCATTACAGGTACCTGGATGGAGTGGATTGTCTAATGCTCGTGTCACAATATTTGGTGATGTCTACCCTTTGCCAGCTGAACAACAGGTTCCTATTTAGCTGCCTTTGTTGCTTGATAATTGATAGTGCAGTCATCTAGTAATTACTTTTCTATGGATAATTTTTTTGAAAGAAAAATGTAAGGAAACTTCAACAGTATGAATAGGAACTTAAAATACACGTCCATGATGACTTAAATGGGATTGTACATCCTCTAGAACCCAAGTGAGCTAGCTAGGGTCACTTCCTTTTTCTCTTTCCTATGGATAGCTGGCATGTCAATCATTAAGAATTTGTCTCCTCCCATTGTGTGAAAACCATCTGTGGACTAAGTTTTCAGATTATAAATTCTCTGAGTTAGTAATTTTTGTTGAGGTTGGGTTTTGGTCTTCCCTATTTTTTTGGCTGCACTTTTCTCATGGCATGGGCTGAAAGAGAATAGATGTTCTGTCATGGCTGTTACAGAATACATGATTGATATGCATGACCATTAAGAGTGAATGCAGATTTATTCTTCCATTTGTGGTTTTAAAAGATTTCATGAACTGACGGTGAGTACATGTATCTGCCAGGAATGGGCACATAAGCAATATGTTGCAAAACATCAACAATGGGCGTCTCAACAGTGGGGAAATTTTTACTACTACAGGATGCAGAATATCAGGTCTGTGATTTGATTTGACGAGTTATACTCTTCCATCATTTCAGGTTGATGAATCCATTTATCGTTTACACACATGCACATCTCTTCTCCCTTCTGTTACTCATAGATGCTTGTGTAACTTATGATTTGTGACAAACTATTTGCGATAATCACAGCGACATATATTTTATTGGAGGCTTTGGCACTGTTGCATGGGTAGATGTGAAACAGTATGAAACTATTCAACCTGACAAGATAGCAGTTGACGGCGGCGAGCAAAGCTTAAAGGTAAACTACGAATGCCATTATCAGCAGATTAGCTGGATCGTCATATTAGTTATGTGCCCGTACATGTAATATGTGAGTACAGTAAAACCTCGACTGCTTTTGATGGATGCTCTTCATGTAGGAGTTGAATGCTATTTTCTCTAAACCACTTAGAGAGTTCATGTCTGCTGAAGGGGAGGTTGACGATGCTGCTCTTATATCCGTAGACAGCAAAGGGATAGACATTCGGGTTCGCCAGGGTGCACAGGTAAACTTTATTCAGATTGCCGTCCCTAGTAGAGACGCTATTCTCTGAGGAAGAAAATCTTCTCTCCGCTGCCTTCAGTTTGCAATTTATTCTGTGCAGTTCAACATCCAGAGACTTGCATTTGATGTACCATACAAGGTGGAGACTCTAGAGGAGGCCAAGAGAGCACTCCATAAGATAATCAAGACAAGCAGCAAATAAGCCGAAGCGCACACGACCTGCACTTGGTTTCACCAGCCCTGCAAGCCCGCGCCGTGAGTCGACAAAAATAACCAAGGATATGTAATCTAGCGTACACAGAGGCAAAATAAGATGATTTCTCTTTAATAATGAGAAACTCCCTGGCAAGTCCCCATATAGTGTGTACCCATATGCTTGTATCGCTTGAACTGTAGTGAAGCTATGTTGTGCAGCCTGTGCTTGTGGAAGCCGGACGCTTTTGTCAGACAAGCTAGTTGTTGGTTTCTGTGTCCCGGCATAGTTTATTTTGACTATGATATGAAGCATCAGCATCTGGACTCAACTGGTACAAGTTTGAATGTGCTTGTGATGATTTTGACGCTAAATTGTGAAGTATTTTTCTTGCCATGTCGTTCAGTTGCGTACTCCTGGAACTGGATTTATGGTGCAAAATGCAGGTACTTTTGTGGACGTGCAGTGTTTTTGCTTTGGAAACTCAGCCCCTTGAGGCCTCGTACAATGCAAGGTGCTTAGGGGTGCTTCGAGAAATAAATCAGGTTTTTCTTAAGCGCTGGTGCTTATTTGTATGGGATAGATGGTTAATTAGGCATCTCTCGCACTGGTGCTTTAGAAAACCGCTTTATTTTTCTAAGCACCTTCCTAAGAACTTAGCATTGTACAAGGCCTGTGGATCTCGATTCTTAAAAAAGAAGAATAGAGTTGCCCGGTTAATTAGCAGAACAGAAAACTGTTACAACACGCCTGCGCAAACAGGGCATTCCGACCGACATGGCACCCACAGGGCCCAAACACACCGTCGAGCTTGTCTACAATGTCATCGTCATCACCTCTCCTCCAGCAAGCGACTCCGACTTCGATGCCGCCGACCCTTCCGAACGAGCGAGCCATGGAACCACCTTTACTCCAGCAAGCAACTCCGACTTCAGTGCCGCCAACCCTTTCGAACGAGCGAGGCACGGAACCCTGCCGACCAAAGCCAAACAATCGTTTGGCGACGTCGAGTACCAGACATCTCCGACTTTGATAACAAGCCTCACAGGAGAAAAGGAGCACACCTGGCACCTACAGAGTCCAGACTGCCAATCGCCTGGCATCGTTGTTGCTGCGTAGCCCTACAACGCCGCAGCTCCAACTTCACGCTCATGAACCAGCCGACTGTTAACGACGAAGGTACGCCACGACCCTGCACATCTCGCCACCATCATCGCTGCCGCACAAGTCGTAACTCCAACCTCCGACACCGTTGATCGGACACCTGCCACCCGCGATGCCGTGCACATCGAGCCTACAAGCAGCGCCAA